CCTCTAGAAATCAATCTTGCTAAAATAACGTTAATCACAATAAACAAATTAAACCATAAAACTCATAACAATGATAGAAAAAAATTTGTTGAATCAATTCCAGGAAGGTAATTGTATCAACAGCATTTTCATTAATGTTTCATTTGTATCAGAAGGGGTTTTTGTGGATATTATAATAATTTCAATAGTTGAGATCATGAGTCAATTGAAGCTAGACCACCATGGAAAACCTGAGGAGTCCCACAATAGCATGAAACGGCCGTCTCGCGTTTCCAGGTTTTTCATCGTGGTCTAGTTTCAAGTGACTCACATTTAAAGCAGACAGTTCAATAAAGTTACGCAATTCGGTATATCACTAAAAATTACTTTCAATAAATTCACGATAATGTTATTTCTTTTCTAACAAACTTATTTAAAACAGATCATATTTTCAATTTGGAATGAATATATTCAGAAATTTGTGTAATAACATTTTTGTCAATGATTTTAGTTCCACAATAGTTATATACGTTTCTTAATGCATTATTTTAATTCATATAGATTGAATGGTTAGATCTTTCCATTGATGTTTACGTCTGCAATTGATCAGTCTCTTTTTGGTATATGTGCATCTTGTGTGGATTGCATCGACATAGCTAGTAAATCAACAGCATTTTAGGCAGAGATGGATATGAGTACATCCAGCTGACGAGTCTCAGATAGGATGAAATACAAGCCCTGGATTCTACTACTAGCCATTAATCATCTCTGCTTAATCAATTATATTCTAGAAGTCGTTTTCATTAGTAAGCGAAGAAAAGCCCGAATACATTTTTTATTCAGTAAAAATCAAATGATTATCCAGAAACGTCTAGAGAAGCGATGGATTGTGTCATATTGACTGAATAATCACGTAAATTTAGTGTGTTCATGGAAGCTTTCAGAATGTTAGGGATATCGATAAACACCCGAGTTTCCTGTACATAAACGAACCATGAAAGTCAAGATTGTTTTCATATTTTTCACCTTCAACTAGAACCCCTTAGTTATTTTGGCTTCTTAAAAAAATCAAAAGATGTTCTTATAACAAAAGTACATCATCATCACCAACAACAACACAGGACTGAGGAGAAATGTTCAAATCTTTTCCTTATTTCTTATCTAGTCTTTCAATATGCAGTTTATATTTTGATAGCTTAAAGTACGTAATACAACACATGTATATATTCATTACAGTAAGTAGCTGACGAAAATACCTTTCCAATGCAGTATAAAATGAAATGTATGTTAGATTTCATGAAGATATTTATCAAATCTACTTTAGGAGATAGTAATCAAAGAATAATGACACTATTCAAACTTTATTCAGATTAACCATTTACAGTTAGATAAGACAGTTAAATTTGATAAAATTACAATTTTTAGGTAATCAAATAGTGAAATCTAACAGATGAGAACTTTCTAAAAACATTTAGTGTTAGAAGTACTTTAGAATCAACATTTACCAAGAGGCTTTCTCTAATTTTGAATATTAGGAAAACTGACTTAGTATCATCACATTGACAACGTAGCTTCAAAGAAGATAATGTATTCAATATTTCTAGTATGCTGAACGCATTGATCTACATAGTTTTCGTTTGAACCACTAGACATAATTCCCACGCTAATCAATCTAAACTGCCTTATAATTTATAGATTGCTTAATAACTTTGTATTACTGTGGATTACTGATTTAGACTTTGTTTTCGGAACTACAATCCCAATTTTGAATATTACGGAAATATACATCGGAAATTAGTCCCGAATTAGTTTTAGAGTTATTTGACGATCGAAACAAGTCACTGTACAATCATGATCGGTATTTTCCGATCTACTACCACATTTAATAAAACGAGATTTATTTCTATGTTGTGTGTTTCGACTGAGGTAAAATCAAAAATTGACTGAAATAGTATCTGCTAACTGCTATTTACAAGTATTTATATTTATTTATTTTAACACATAGGTGTTAGTACAAGGAGGCAACAAATACATATGCGCCACACGAATCTCAATTGATTTGTGTGAGGGTTGTGATACTGCCCAGGTGCCCAAACCGAAGCAGGTGGTTTTCTTAGGGGGCCACACCCAGAGCCTTTGACCTGAACGTCTGATCCACAAAGCAGTGGAGCATCGTAAGGAGATGCAGTCCCATGGTAGCCGATGATCAACGATTGGTTCATACGCCACTTGTTCCTTCAGGATACTGGAGCCCATGTGCACCATTGGTTTGGGATCCGGTTAAAGCGCAGGACATTCGCTTTTCGTCCTCTCATTTTCGTAAACAACACCCCCGCCACGTGAAGGCAGTGAGTAGGACTTCCCTGGCAGGGGCTGTATACGCGTGGCCATGTGAGAGCATTTGGAGAGGGAGAGCGGACTCTCCCCACTCTCGGCCGTACCAGGGCATTTGGGGGCAATTGCAAGTAAGGCATCCTAAATGTTTTGAAGATGAATTAGTGTTACTCATAATATTTGAATCTATTTCATTTACAATCGATTGGTCTTTGGGTAATAATGATCAATGTCATAAGTGTCAGAACCTTCTTAGTGAAAATAGAATTCTGACGATTAGGTCGCTAGATGACCACCAGTCAAAGTGACTCGATATCGCGTGTACTATGTTGACATGTGAGATGGTCATCGGAAGAGTCGACAAGAAACGTTGTTTGTCCTAGATTTCATATTATTTAACACTCGTCAGAAAGGTGCACCTATAATCCTGAGGAAACTGGTGCTCCCTTGAAGATCCGGTCCTGTGTAGCCCAGCTTCAAAGTCACATACGTTACCATTGAGCTATCCGCGCCGCGACTGACCTCCACTAGGACTGAGATGTATTTACAATTGATTAACCTCAATATAGTAACCAATCATGTATGTCGGGTCAGCTCATTGGTAACGTTTGATTATAAAGCTGGGTGACACGGGACCGAATCATCCAGGGAGCATCAGCTCTGTCAATATTACACATGCACCTTACTAATGAATGCCAAATAGCACGAAACCTAGGTCACCCAGGGAATCCTGTTGACTACACCCAACCACCAACTTACACCGTGTTTCGTATATGTCACAGTCAGTCAGAGATTTCACTAACAAACAAACATGACAGTAATCTAATGACTAGGAAGCAGGGAAATTTCTTACTCCTACATTTTTTAACCTGATCACGTGATAAATAAATAATATAATTGTAATATCCCAATGAGTAGAAAATTAGATTTTCTGACGTTTCGTGACTTAGTGTAAGTCACTTCTTCAGATAGTTTTGTCCGCATTCTATGGATTACAGTAAAGATAAAATTTGGAATATCTAAATTTTTATCTTTTGGATAACAAAATACAATTTAATCAGATCTTGATCGATTACTTTCTGTATATGCGAGTAGTTACGGCTTGTTGGACTTGAAATCCACACGGCTGTAAAATATTGAGTTCTAGTTAAAAGACAATGAGTCAGTCAATGTGTACACGTTTTTTTTATCCAGGTACTGTTATATTATTGACATAAATGTTATCATCATTACTATTAATTTATCAACTGAACTTGTACTATGACAATAAAATCATTAACACATGACAAAAACGTCACTAGTTTCACTACTTATTATCTAACATCTGAGTACTTATTCATCATTAGACTACTTAACCATAAAGAAACCTAAAGAGAAAAAAAATACAAGGTTTATAAAATTGAAAAGATTTAATTTTACTTAATGTGTATGTGTGATTCATAATTAGACCTGCACCAATTTTTTTTAAATTAAAAGCGAATGATCTGGAGTCAGGGTTTAATGTTTTAGATAACATTTATTCAGACAGATCTGTTTTAAAATACACGATAGATTCAAATCGATAAAAATAAAAGTATGAATCTGTGGGATAGAAAAATTCAATTAGACAAGTCTACACACATTGTTTAGAAATATTCCTTAAAGGAAATATAGATAACTTTATATGCTATGATCAGACATTCAGCTAGTTAGATTCATGTGAAGCTATAAATAGTGAAATTTGGTATAGATGTAATTTAGTTATATATATTTATTGTTGAAAAGAAGAGAGAGAAGCCGTGAGCAATGGAGTTCAATTCATGTCGCATGTGAGGCAGTTACTCACCACGAGCAATAGATGAAGAGTTTTGAGAGATCATGGACTGATTGGAGTTAGATATTAGAAACGTTGGATGCCGGTTTAGTTGTCAAGACGTCAGGTATTTGCGCTCTAGACCGAAAGTCCTGGGTCTGATCCCCCTACGCGGCCACGGACGCACACTATCAAGGAGTCCCATATTAAGACGAAACGTTCATCCAGTACTAACAGATTTTCAATGGTGGTCTGGCTAAGATGAAGTCGTTATTTAAGGTATGAAAAGTATACAAGCCCCAAAAATCTTTCATAGTAGAGAAAAAATTCCTAAACTTCTGTCGATCAAATGTGTCAAAGTAAGTTTATGTCCTTGTTTTAATTTAGACAACCCAGTTTAATTTTATAAGTTAATCAAACCTTAGCATTATACAATGGCTCCTTGATATCATTTGGTATTTTGTCAAGCCAATAAAACACAATTAGAATTCAAAGTGACTTTAAACTTGGACTGTCTCTCTTATTTCTTTACAACATACAGTTTAATCTATTGACACAAATAACTAATATTAACAAAAAAAGAAAACAGCCCCAGAAACTATTGCTAATATGACACCAAAAAGAGAAAAAGTCGAAATATACTCAAAAGTTGAATAAATCTATTTCATAAGTAAAGCAGCAACAAATTAACCAAATGTTTATTTTATATGCAGGAATAGAGTCAGGAGTGGAATAAAATATAGATATATAAATAGTAAAACAAACATTGTATATACGTACATACTTTGAATATTATATATATATATATATATATATATATATATATATATATATATATATATATATATATATATATATATATATATATACTAAAATAAACTTTAATTTCATTGACCAAAATACTGCAAAAAATTTATTCACAACTAGAAAACAAAAACGTTCATCTCAGTCTTTTTTACACCTTGACTGAATACATTTATTCTGTAGGCCAAAAAAATGTCGAATGTGCTAATACAATATGGCAGTCAAAACGCCAGGAACAAGAACTAATATTTCATAAAAAAAACTATTGATATATAACAATTTCTATGGGAAATAGAAAAGTTGGAATGTGGTGCAGAAAACTGGAAACAATAATAGTACTATTAATAATAAAAGAACATAACAACAGATAAAAGCACCAAGGACCAAGGTAATAAGATGGTTGATTAATCAACATGTAGAAAAAGCGTTTTCATCTTTTTTTTTAATTGTGAAAAAAGTTCGAAAGCATCATACAAAAAACGAAGCATAGTTCTTAATAGAGAAAAATGATAAGGCAAGTGGTTGGTTGGTTGGCTTGTAGTAAGAAAATTAGATGAAAAAAATTATAAAAACTGAGGTGAAAAACTGACAGTAAGTAATCTTGGGAAAAAAAATACCGATTCAACAAAGCTCAAAGGTAGTAATACATTTCAAAATGTGCTGTTTCAAGTACTTTGTTTCTTTATTCTTCTTTTAGAAAAAAAATGAATTGAAGTAAGAGAATATTTGGAAAAAAGTAACTAAACAAACAGATGGAAAACAAGAGAAAGAAGACCAGTAAGAAAAATGAAAAATTTATCAACTATTTTCTAGAAAATAAGAAATAAATTTGATGAAAAGAAAAAAATAGCGGCAAAAAAGATTAGATTGTTAATTTTTCTTTGCTGAGTCAAAAGGAAAAGATTAGGATGATGTACTTGTAGAAGTTAGTAAAAATGGTAATGCTACTTGTACTGTTGATGCTGAGACTGAAGCTACCATTGCTGCTGATGATGATGTTAGTGGGGATTGTGATATGATTGTTGTATTAGTTATACCTTGGATAGTACCAATTGTACAACACGATTGTAATTGACGAATTGATGATAACATATTTTGATGTTGTTCATTTGATAAACTCATATCAATTGATGGTAACGTACCATTTTTAATTTGCTAATTGTAGGCAAAAAATATGGAAAATTATATGCATGAACAATGAACAAAACTGTGTATTTAAAATAGATGTATTATGTTTGACATTTATGTTTCATCCTACTAGGAGCTCATCAGTTCGATGGACCCATCATATCACAGTGTTGAGGTTTACATCAGGACTTGAACCTAATGTATTTCATCTTAAACGTGTAATAACCAGCATTGTTACACGTCTACTTTTGAACAAACGAATTATTTCTAATCTTCCGAGTAATTTTGTCACTTATATGTGTAACTTTGAACATGTGCATGTGATCGCAAGTAAGTGTCTTTATGCTCGCTTATATCTTTTATGCCTATAAGTGTTAACTGACGTTCGAATTAAATAGAGTTGGTAAGCTTACCATCTTCGATTCGGCTTCTCCGCTTCACATTTCTCATCGTCTGGCCGCATAAAAGAATATCTGAAATAAATTCGTCCAAACTAATGCATATTTGACTTTTTACTACCATCATTGCTAAAAACGGGGTTAGCTTAAGTAAAATAAATGATGTCAAACTGGGAACATACATACATGGTTCATTTTCCATTTATTCATGATAAAATCGGATAAAGCAGGCCTAGAAATGCTCAACATGTTATCCTCTGAACTACTGAGTCCAGATAATGATCAAGTTTTTGAACAGTTAAGATGCTTAAGTATTTATTAGCAAGGATTAGGATTATTCCATTGAGTTGCAGAATGAAGAGTTCGAGTCCGAATGTGGACATCAATACTGGGATATAAGTATACCCAACTGATGAGTCCAAAATAGGACAAGACATATGTCTTGAATAACAATGCTTGCCAAGATTCAACTATTGTAAATAACTTGTGACAAAATCGTGATAATGAAGTAATCCGCATGAGACTCATATATTTACCAAGAAACATTCATCGGAATTTAGTCTTTACTATTAACAGTGTGATAATTCAAACCTATAACAATATACTAAGTGGAATAAATAATAAAATAGGTGATGGGACATGTGACGTAACAACATGTGAATTCATCTAACCTACTGTATTAACACTAGCTTACTACTCAGTGATCATCTAAACAATTCTATAGATATCTACATAAGTTAGCCCAACAGTCAGAATTTTTTATGTTGTAAATCAAAGATATTAGTTTAATCGATGGGGATTTCGAAAACTTATCACATGATCCATTGACACACAAAGTCACCTAGAATATTATTGCATAAATCTGTAGAGTGTAACATATCATAAGGTTTATGATAGTACAGAAAAATATCAACTCTGGGATACAGGTACATTCAGCTGACAACTAACAATTGTTTGATCATATACTGTAGTGAAATCAGTTACAGTATTGTAGAAATGTGAAAAGAGTAGGTTTTACTATACTACTTATTAATTCGTTTCTATTTCTAGTTTCGATAGAATGTAATGAACATTTTACTTTAATACAAAATCAATCAAGAGTTAAGATTTTATCATAAGACAAAAAGACATTGTTTATTATGTGACTTTGACTATTTGTCACATTAGTTAATCTTTTTGTTAAAATGATCTGACTAAATCTTTATCGACTGAGGTGAACAGGCCATAGGTAATATAATTTACTCTGAAGAAGTGGCTTGCATTAAGTCATGAAACGTCAGAAATAGAATTTTTATACTCAATAGGATATAACAAAAAATGTATCTATTATTAACTTCAGAAGTTACGATTTACAAAATTAAATAATACACAGCGAACTGCTGTTAATTATAATTGCCATAAGACAGGGAGACGGTTACCGACACCGACCTTCCAGGGCTGATGAGACTTTCAAGGTAACCAAAGAGGTCAAGAAGCTCATCTGCTTCATCTCTTATGGTTAGAATAGGCACTGAAAAAGCAGTTTTAAAGTAGTATTTTGCATTTTAGCAAGAGGGATACATCCAAAATATCCTTGAGGTGTTACTTAGCTACTTCCATTATTCTTTTTAAGCAGGACTACATACTCTGCACGCTCTAATTCAATGAGACATTTGCCGTGTAGAATACCTTCTACAATTCCTTCTTAAAATTTTGACAAATCTTAGCATCATATTTTTGTTAGTCTTACCATATCCAAGCAGTGCACTGAAGAGACTTATAATCAGATACCAGCAACCTACAGATACCTTCTATTTTTATTCGCTATTTATAGCTGTGAAGCAATATAGAGCAAAATCCTGCGTAATATAGTTCCTCTTATTATTAGTTAAACAATAAAATATCCTCTTTGCAATGTTATAGGAATGAAAATATCCAAGTTATTTTTCAAGTATTCATTATTGTACCGTCATCATCATACGCAGCGTAGAACCTAACACATCTATGCAACGGTTGAAGTTGTCGTATCATGTTACCACAGCGAGTTGAAGTTATTTCAAGACAACTTAAGTCATAGGAGCAGCAATAGTATCAGTAGCAGTAAAAAAGATTAGGTATGGAAAAGGAAGAAAAAAGCATAAGATGATTTTGGGACTCAAATTCTGAAGGAAGACAAGGAGTGGATTTGTCTCAGACATTGAGAAAGTTTCTGAGCTGTATCACCTAAAGTCTCTAACAATTCGTTACGATAATCACGCAGACCCCAGCCAGGTAGTCTACACTTTTTCACATGTATAAGTCCAATTGTCAATGACTTCGTATACTGGTACCGCATCTCGGGGTTTGCAGCCCCTAGCTTCAACTTACACTAGTTAACATCTCACGTAGACGTAGTTGGTGGTTGGGAATACGTTATGTACTGATATAAGTTAATTCATAATGTAGATTTAACATACTGACATATATATTTTGCAAACTGATAAATAAATTAGATAACTTACAGATTGACTTCCGTAGATAGCAGTTGATAAATGACGCGTACAATTACTGCCAGTAAATACTTTATTATGATGTGATGGACTAAGTATTGATACAAATGTATTTGTTTGGTGATTTTGATGTAAATTATGTTGTAAATGTGTTGATGACATTTGATGCATAGAATTTGATTGTCCTATACAATTAGAATGTGAATGAAATTCTAAAATTGGTGTTAACGTAGCATATGGTGATAAACATGAACCATTCATTTGTGTATTATTATTATTGTAAATATTAGTTAATTGTTTTCCAACTTGTTGAGTCTGACGACTGATTGGTGTACCATCATAACTTATAGACTAAAATAAATATAAGATATTTTAAAAGGAAATATTATGATAACGTAATAAATACTCCTAGTTTTTAATGATAAAATCGGATAGCTGGATCGTTTTTTATAAGTAAAAACACTACATTCATTATAAGCAAAATATTCAAACAACCATAAACATTGAAACATATTAGAAACGAAATCTCTTGATCAATTATAGAACACATATGAAACTGATTATTTATAAATTAGTAAACATAGTAGTATAGGCATAAAATAACTAATTTTAAACAAATAATTACAGTTATAGTTTGTATTTTCCTTGTACAATTTCAATACATGAAATGTTTTTTAATAAAGAAAAAAATAGTGAACAAACAAAAACTTTAGTACACAGATTACAACAACGATTGACAATGTCTTTTTCTTTTACCAACTATTAACAACATTTGAAGCAGTAACAATTGAATAAAACAATTGAATTTTTTTTGTTAGTAAAACGTCACATAAATATTAACTTTTTTTCACAGAAGTAATTCAACTCCAAGTTATTATTATTATCATTACGATTATATTAATCAAACGCTGAAAACTAACAGCCTACCTCAGCTGATTCCAATATACCAGATGAATGTGCACTATGATCAGTACTGTAATCACTAGTTGAATTGCCAGTAAATGGCGAACTGGTTTGATGAAATAACATCACCTCATGACTAGACCCAGTGAATGGGCTATACAAATAAGTTGCATTTGTTGCACACTGTTACAATTAGACAATTATTTTTTGGTTGTTTTCATCAATCAAACATACAAAATAAAATGATAAAGATATTAGTTAATAATTAAGAAGTGACATAGTTTAATTATACTATAAATATATTACATATCCTTATATACATGTCTAAACTGTGAAAATCTTCAAAAATTCCATGTAAACAATTTAACAGAAGCTTGTTTTTTCATTGAATAGATTGAAGTAAAAATACAAAACAAAGAAGTAACTACTTATCGTATATCTTAGAATAAAATGTATTTTATTAATAAGTAATTTTGAATAATTGTTACACAGGATATACTTTCAGAAAAAAAAACCAAAAAAATAATAACAGTTTATCTTTGGAACTATATTAAATGATTACAGATTATTCATCTTTTTTAATTTTCTGTACAGTTTCTACATCATATCGTGGTTTTTTTATTGGTTGAGTAAAAGATAACCCTACAATATCATCATTTAAATGAACAGATTTTGAAAATTCATTTTTGGTAATATCCTCCTTTTCTTTTGTCTTCATCTCTTTCATTGAATTCATATTTGTATCAATTAATGATGGTGAATTAATTGATGCTGTAGCTAAGGCAGCTAATGTTGCTACTGTAGTCATATCAAGGTGCATAATATCATTATCAAATATATTTGTATTTGGTTGCTGCATAACAGTAGCAGCAAGTAATGCTGCAGTGGATGCTGTTAAAGTTGAACTTTGTAATAATTGTAACGTTGATGATAAATCGCCAAATGATGATGGGTATAATGATAAAGTTGAATTACTCACCTGTTGAGGAAATTGAAGATTTTGATTCGATATTGTTGATGTTGATTTAGTAGTACCTATACTTGAAGATGTATCAATAGTGAACATGTTAGGTTGAGGACTTGTTCCCTGAATGGTATTTTGAGATTGTTGTATACATGGTGACCAATGCCAATTAGTTGGATGTTGAGTTGTAACAGCAGATTGATTCTGTGTGATTGTTGATGTCTGATTGAGGGAATGCTCATTGTTTACATGTGAAACACTATGAGTTACTGTTACAGTAGATGATTGTTGTGGATTTTGTTGGTTATTCTGAGCTGGATGTTGTGGCCATTGAATAGCAGCAGCTGCCGCCATTACTGAGGGAGTTGAATGAGATTGCGGATTGGCGTTATTAACACTGACATTGACTGGTGTTATCTGGCCAACAACCGCAGGAGTCAAACAAGAAACAGCTCCTGTTTGATGAAACTGTTGATGAAGTGCTGCCGTTACAGAGTGCTGTGGAATATGTGTATATGGCGATATGGCTGCAGCTGGAGTTGAATGTAAAGGAGGCAAGTAGAGAGGTGTTCCTCCATCCGGCTGTGGAAGTATCATTGTGGCATAAGGAGCTGTGGTCTAAAAGTGATTGAAATTAATTCATATTACTATCGTTACAAAAGAGATCTCATTAAAAAAACTAAACAACTAGGAAAAGAATTTTCATGAATATATAATATAACAAAAGTCATTAGTATCTTAACCTATCTAATTTAAACTGCTTATCAGACAAGAATTACAGTATGGTTATCAGTCAATTTCAAACAATCATACTAATTAGTCTTGTAATTGTTGAAATAATATTATCTATAATGATAGTAAGATGTTTTATGAATCCTTAATTAAAATAGAAATTTCACCCTATGAATAATTCGCTGTTATGGAGTTTCAGGATTGCCTGTGATGCTTACACTGTTCAGAGTAAAAACTGTATGTCAGTAATTCGAAATTTAAATATCAAAACTACTACATGTGTTTTGACGTTCAAAAAAAAGTTTATTTCGGAAAGTTTACAGTACGTTAAATTAAAACATACTGGCTAATGACTGTGCATGTTCATACAAACTGTACATAACTAATTGAGCATTCAACAATTTTCACTCACTTGAGTCAATATAGGATACTCTTGGCCAGGTAAAGGGAATACAGCCATACCATTTTGAAAGCTATAAGGAATTGCACTTCCGGTGAATAGCAAAGTTGTTGTTAGGTCTATATTAGAAAAGAAACACAATGTTACAAACGTGCGGACTTGATAACAAAATAATCGAATAAATTAAGAACAGTGTACATACCTGGACGAGGAAATATTTGTTGCTTACGAATTGCATGACCTATGTTGAGTTTACGGTCTTTGAAAACAAGTGTTTCCGACTATAATAAGAATGACAGTAAAATATTATACTAACCTCGTTCTTGATAATTTTTTCAGCCATTTCTTGACTTTCGAAAGTAACAAATCCATAACTCCTATTAAACACACATGATTATCAGTAATAAAACGTACCCTTTAGATGCCCCGAGGCGATCGCTGATAATTTTCACATCTTTTACCTGTCCGAAACTTGAAAAGAAAGACTTCAGTTCTTGTTCGTTTGTCTAAAAGCTAAATGAAAATTATAATTCAAACCTACATTTGATGGTAATCCGCCAACAAATATGCGGTTTGGAATAAGGGTACCAAACTTGGGTAGGCTGGAAGATCCAGGAGTTAATGGATGACAGAGAGGAATTAAAGAATTCTCGGAGATGAGTCTGTTAGTATGATCAACCGTTTGAATATTGATCCCAGACTAGGTCAATGGTAAATGGAGGTACAGAGTTGAATACTTTACAATTGCTAGTTTATATTAATTTGAAGACTTTATGGTATTCAGTCAAAACTAAATAAATGTGCACAAATAAATTAAAATTCACCTCGTTAAACAAGTCAATGGCTATCCGAACCCAGTATCCACGTAGATAACGCTTTGTGCATTTGAAGAGAAAAGTATTGTACTCGAGCCTCAGTGTAAAGACAGACACTAAGGCGAGAACAGATTCAGCCGATGAGTTCGAAATAGAACGAAACACATGTTCTAGTTTTTACTGCTACCCACTTTTCAACTCAAGTTACAGATACTTGTCACTTATTGCTATATCAATTCAATCTGCACAGGATGCATATATGCCAAAAGAGACCCATTGATTGCAGTCTTTAACATCAACAAGACGATCCAAAAAACCCTTACGAAGAAATATATAAATAAGGTTTTTAAGTCTGATGCTTTAATAATTCTTTTAAGCCAACTAAAGTGGATAAAAAAATCAATTCGATGTTATAAAATCAAATGTCCGAAACACAAATTTCGCACTTAAACCAATTAATCATTTTTTTACTTTAAGCTCTAAGCTTTAAATCGAATCCTCACTACCTAACAAAAAATGAATGTCCACGAGAAAAACTAGATCTTGAGTTCAATTAACACTTAAAAAACAACCCAAGGACTGAGTGACAGATTTTTATATTGATAATGATAGTCAAGCTATCACTTCATTCAAAATATTCAAGCACATATATCACATAAACGACAGGAACCTCATAACTCACCATTTTTTTCTTACAAATAAAAGACAAAATCTATGGCCCCAAAATGAGTAGTCCCAAAGATCAGAATCAAGTAAAATGGGCAAAGACTTTTGTCAGATTAATCTCATTTCAATTTCGCGTGGGCAGAGGGCAGTTGTCATTTTATCTATTTCATATTCAAATTATTATTATTCAGATTAAAGCTTATTTCATTGGTCCCTTTATGAAGGGCCCCTCCAATTATTTGAAGCTGTGCGTTGTATGTCTATTAAACGCTCATTTAACAAACTAAAATATGGTGGGAGAAAATCGATTTGAGAATATGACTTGTGTGAAATCAATCCACCATTAATCTCATTCATAAGGATTCAAATTTACGTATTTTATTGGTTGGTAAAGAATTATAGAGACGAGCTCAAAAAGTGCTCCTGAATATCATCAAGCCGTTTGTTGAAGTAGTTGTGTTATACATTTCAATTTTATGATGTAACAAATTGTTTTTTTTTTCAAAGACAGTGCAAATCCTTAGACTTATAGCCCTGAAAGTAATATATATTGACTAAAATTTTTTGAATAGACGAAGCATTTGACAAAAATGCAGAATTAAGACACTCATTGTGCACCACATCTCATTGAAGAGTAATGTTATAGCTCGAGTGAGAATAGATTAGCAAGTATTTCAAAATGTCTATCAAAACATGAGATCACTTCCCTGTGAAAACTTTGATTCTTTAGAGAATAAACTGTGAAAACCAAGCACTTCGAAGTTACTCACATTTACTTACGCCTGTTGCACCTCGTGGAGGAGCATAGGTTACTCACCAGCACACTCCAATCTTTTTCAGTCGCTATTCGTCATTTTCATGTTTGCTTCCATTTCCCGACGTAGTGGGTTCTTTGGTCTTCCTCTTTTCCGCTTCCCTTCAGGATTTCAAGTTATGGCTTGCCTCGTGATGCAAATTGGTGATTTCCCTAATGTATGTCCTATCCACTTTCAAAATCTTTTCATAATTTCTTCTTCAACTTGAAGCTGGTCTGTCCTCTCCCATAGTAGACTGTTGCTGATTGTATCCGGTCAACGGGTATTGAGTATCTTGTGTAGACAACTGTTCATAGATACTTGTACCTTTTTTATGGTGATTGTACTAGTTCTCCGAATTTCAGCTCCGTACAGTAGAACTAACGGTCTTGACGTTCGTATTGAAGATTGTAACTTTGACATTGATTGATAGTTGTTTTGAGTTGCATATGTTCATCAACTATAGGAATGTTATCCTTGCTCTGCCAATCTTCGTCTTCACGTTTGCATCAGATCGTCCAGGTTCATCGATGATGCTAACCAGATAAGTCAAACTGTTCACCTCTCCCACAGTTTCTCCATCAAGTGTGATTTAGTTGAGGTTCTCTGTGTTGAATTTGAGGATCTCGCATTTTCCCTCTTGTATATTGAAACCTACTAATGCAGAGGCCACTGCTACACTGTTTTGACCTACATTTGTTTGTGTGTATGGGATAGAAGAGCTAGGTTGTAGTGGTTTTGCTTCGTTAACCGATCACCTCGATAACCGTTATAATATAAGTCTCAACGGTGATTAAAATCACGAGGCAATGAGAAGATGTAACTACCGTTTATTAATGGATAACGCAGATCACAAAGCTATAAGCACATGCGAGCGAATTTGAAGCGGAGAAGCGAATAAGTATATGTGAGTAATTGCGTAGGTAAATTTATAGACAAATTACATTATTATATTATGAAATACAGTTTGTCATGTGATCTAGTGATCATAGCGATACAAAGAAATATGCGAATTTTACTGTTCAAATAAAATTGTCTGTTAAGTAAGTTAATAAAAGAGCTTAATCAGAATTAACCATACTCGAAATTGGTTGTAGGTTAGCTGATATAAGGTCATCTGTGAAGTGCAAATCGTCTAGTTGTATCCAATCTGTCAACTATATTCCGTGTTTCTCCTCATATGTTGAGGTGTTCATAATCCAGTCAACAATCAGAGGAAAGAGGAAGGGTGAGTGTAGACAGCCTTATCTGACTCCGGTCCTCACTTCGAATGAGTCTGTCAGCTGTCCTCCATGCACGATTTTGCACTGTAGTCCGTCGTATGAGTTCCGGATAATGTTGACAATCTTCTCAGAAACTCCACAGTGTTGAAGAAGTTTCTATAATGTCAGCCTATCCACACTGTGAAATGCCTTCTCATAGTCAAGGATGTTGATTTATAGTGACGAGTTTCATTCGATTGATTGCTCAACAATGATCCGTAGTGTTGCGATTTGATCTGTGCACGACCGATGCTTACGGAATCCAGCCTGTTGATCTCGAAGTTGGTCGTGTACTAAGTCTTTCATTCGGTTCAGCAACATTGTTGAATACTTTCTCTGGTACTTACAGTAGTGTGTTTCCTCCGTAGTTCTCACATTCGCTCGGGTCTCCTTACTTTGATATCCTGATGGAGTATACCTGTTTCCAGTCAGTCAGTGGCACTTGTTCCTCCTCCCAAATCTTCCTGAATAGAACGAGTAGCATGTTTGCAGTTAATTCTATGTATAGCTTTAGTGCTTCAGATGGTATATTGTCAGATCCTTCTGTTTTTCCGCACTTGATTTATTTGATGACCATTTTGATTTCTTTGATTGTTTATGGAGTGACATCTGTAGGAAGGTCTGTGTGTGCTGTTTGGATTTCTGGTGGATTCAATGGAGCTGGTCAACTCAACAGTTCCTCAAAGTATTCTACCTAACTGTTCCTTTGTTCATGATCTCAATGATTGACTTACCTTCCTTGTCATTTATCGGTCTCTCTGGTTTACTATATTTTCCTGTCAGTTCCTTCGTAGTGTCATATAGCTGTCTTATATTTTCCTCTCTTGGAGCTTTTTCAGCTGTCGTTACTAGTTCTTCCACGTATTTCTGCTTGTGGGCTCAAATGCTCTTCTTCACTTGCTTGTTTGCTTCTATGTATTCAGCTTGTGCTTGGACTTTCTCTGCTCTTGTTCGACTGTTTTTAATTGCTGTCTTCTTGTTCTTCCTTTCTTTGATCCTGTCCAGTGTTTCTATAGAGATCCATTCCTTGTGATGATGCTTCTTGGGGCCCAGAACCTCTTGACACGTTGAAGTTAATTCTTTTTTGATCCCTTTCTAGTTGTCTTTCATCGTAGCTTCTTCTTTCAACAATCCTTTAAGGCTTGGAACCTGTTGTTGAGATTTATCTTGAATTCGTTCAGTTAGTGAGTATCTCGTAAGAATGCTGTATTGAACTTTTGTGATGCTGTTCCCTCAGTTGTCCACTGTTTCCTTAGCTTCAGTTTCATCTTGGCCGCAACCTGGTGGAGATCTGAAGCTATTTCAGCTCTCCTTGTTCTCACGTCTTCCATTGTCCTTCGGATTTCTTTATTGATACAAATATGACCTATCTGGTTCTCAGTGTTGTGGTCCGGCGAAATCCATGTAGCTTTGTGTATGCGTTTGTATTGGCTGATTTCCAGTACTGCCAAGTTGTATCTCCTCATTTCCGTTGCTATTTGACTGGTCCTCCGGGTCTTCCACATTGTCCGGATGTTCCATGTACCTATAAAGGTTGTTGCTCTGGTTGTTAGAAGGGGAATCGACTTCGCGACTTCCGAAGAATCTCGGCTTTCATCCTGAGGCATCATAATCCTCCCTTCAACTCGAAGGGCAGAGTTTAAATGGTTTAATTTATTTAATTTGGTTGACGTTTATTTAGCAACATTTTTTTCTACGGGATGGGGTTGCAGACCTCATGCCCAACCGTCCTCCTTTACCCGGGCTTGGGATCGGCAGTAACTCTAGATCAGTTACAGGCATAGTTACTTCAAAGTTACTCTTCCA